GAATGGAGATCGAGGGGAGGTTCATCAAATTCACTGCAATTGGGGTTTACCTAGAAGATAACGCTGTACAGTCACTCGCCGTTAAGTGGAATGGCAAGACCGCCGACGAATAGACGGATTCCCTCGACTTCTTCGGAGACATCGTCACTGGTAAGGATTCAATTTTCAATTTTTTTTTTTTTTGTTTTTTTTAAGAAAAAGTTATTAATCCCTAATTGTTAATTTTTAGATGCCTTTGAGAAATTCACAAACGTGACAACGATACTGCCATTAACTGGCAAACAATACTCCGAGAAGGTAGCAGAAAATTGCGTCGCCTACTGGAAAAAAGTAGAGAAATACACCGATGCAGAGTCTGCTGCAATCGAAAAGTTCCTCCAAGTATTTAGCGACGAAAACTTCCCTCCTGGAAGCTCTATCCTCTTCACTCAATCACCGGAGGGCTCATTAACGGTGATCACACGTTTCTTGGGCAATTAAGGTGATGAACAATGACTTGCTTTTTTCGCCTCTATTAATCGACTCCTCTATTAAACAACTATTGGAAGCAGTGCTTGAGTCGATTATCGGTAGGCACGGTGTATCCCCTTCAGCAAAACAGAGTTTGGCTGCAAGAATATCGGATTTGCTGCTGAAGCCGAATGAACCCGAGAAAGTTGCTGCTGCTACTGCAAAACCTCAGGAAAACTAGGCCAGGCTCATCATGTTCTATTATTATATTAGTTCATTTCTCAGGACTAAAGAAAGTATATCCTCTGCAATTCATGGGCTTTAAAGATGAGAAGAGACTGCTAAAAGCTGAAAGCCTGTGTATCAAATATGCTTCTACGAATGTTGAAGAAAAGGCTTAATTCTTAGCTACACAGCATCAGTTGTGGTCAGTTCTTGCATTTGATTTATTCTCCTTCTTTTTTTACCTAATTATTTCAACAAGTTATGCATTCATTTAGTTTGATTTAATGATTTTGCATCTTTTATTGATTATTGAACAAAGTTCCAGCAAGTTGTATCCACCTAAATAAACTATCAAGAAATTAAGATTAGCTTCTCATTATTGTGTTTCCTCTTTGAAGTAGGTAATAACAATAGCAACAAGGAAGAAGTTTCAGAGGCTTCGGCTGCTGGAGCTGCTGTTTCTTCTACGATTCGGCATAACCCGCTTGGTTAGTTCTTCAAGATTTATGGAAAATTAATTTAATTTCTTTCCATCATTAATATGCTTATTTTTGGCTTTCTGTAACCTGTTTTGCATTGTATTTCCGTTTTAATTTGGAAGAATCTGAAAAAGAATACTAATTCTGAAATTAAAGAAATCTCCTTCTCCTTCACCGTTGCCTGCATTATTTTCTCTTTTATTTTTTATTCGTATGAATCAACCGGGCACCGCGCCTTGCGCGGTGCTCCATCACTAGTATATATATATATATATATATGATCTGAATCGTGATCGTGCATTTCCTCAATTGTTACTTTGTTTATAAGTATTAGAGAAAACAAAAAATATTGTAACTTTACGAATTTTAATTGGAGAAATTTTAATTTTGGTTCAATTTCTTTTAGAATAAGTTGATAATCGTACATCTGAAGGTAAACTTGGTATTGCATACGTGTACCCGAAAAAAATAAAAGAAAAGTACTATCACGTGGCTAATTGAACCATGTGATACGGTATGATTGTAATTTGTAAGCATATTATAGTTCATGAGTACGCTAAACAATCGTCTGAATTATTTTCTCTGAGTTTTAAGCAGTGTTCTAAAAATCGGCCGAGGCGGCCGATTAATCGGTCGCCTAGGCGGAGGCGGTCCAAAACCTTTACGATTTTAGTGTAAAGGTTTGAAAAATCGGTTTTTTGCCTGTGAGGCGGTTTGAGGCGGTCCGAGGCGGTCTGAGGCGGTCAAACCTTTAAGGCGGGTCAAACTTCGGTGGAAAAAATCGGTCAAAAATCGGTTTTTTTTTTTTTTTTTTTTTTTTTATAAATCAAAATAAAAGTTGGAATTTAAATAAAAAAAAAAAGGAATTTATGCTTTACTTTGTTTATGTTAATTATTATTGTTAAAGAACTAATGATGTATGCCAAGAATGTATATAAATTCAAAAAAAATTGTCTTTTATTTATATTTTATAAGGATATTTATGTATTATGATCTTATTATTATTAAACTTTTATTATGTTATTAGAATATATACATGACGGAGATATAACTATGTTTAAATATTTTTCATATATGTTTCGAGTATTTATAAATAATATCTACCAATATATTATATTAAATTTTAAAAACCGATTTATTTCCGATTTATCACCGATTAATCACCGCCGCATCGATTAATCGTGAATCGGTGCCTGACCGAGTCGGACCCGATTACCGATTTTTACAACCTGGATTTTAAGACATAAGCGGCACATTTGGTATGTGGGTATGGGCAAAGAATGGAATATATGTTCCCAATGTTATTCCCGAATACATGTTTGGTATGTTTTGGGAATGGGAATACCCATTCCTATCGGAATGCTCATACCCAAAATTATAGGATTAGTGATTCCTCCACTCCCCCGTGATTTTTATAAACTCATTTGTGAATCACGTGATATGCCAGGCTTGTATTGCTTATTACTTAGGTGGTGTTTGCAAATGATTATTTAAAAGCAGAAGTTAGTGATTGTGATTTAAGTTAGTTTTAAGTGCTTATTTCTAAAAGTTGGGGGTGTTTGCAAATATTTCGGAAAATGAACTAAAATTGAAAAAGCAGGGTTAGGGGTGCTTTTAAAAAAATAGCTTAAAGCAGATTATTTTAAGAGAAGCAAAAGCAAAAGTTGATTTTGCAAACACTTAAAAACAGATTATGAGCAAAAAAAATCGTATAATCACTTTAAAAAAGCATTTGCAAACACCACCTTAATTATATACTTCACGTGGCAAGCAGTTATTGGAAGTATTTTTCTAGTGATATGCGACACAATGCGATACTTTTATAGTCAATAAATTATATATACATCATGCTGTAAGCAATCTATATAATATATAAAAGTTGAATTCCATAGCTAATTGATTGACATTTGGCAATTTCAATTGGTGACATGTCCTCAATTTCATCCCAAGTGGCGAATTGATTGGTGGAAATAAATCATCAAAAAACATGTCATCATTTTCCAAAATTAAAGCTAATTAAATATATTTAATTATTTTATTAATATATTTATAGCCTACCATTTATAAAATGCTCTAAATATATCAACTTTCTTAGAAACTATAAATAAATTTATTTTTGAATTTAATTTTATAATTAATTTAATTTTAATTTAGTTAAATTCGATTTAAATTCTTCACTTATTATTGCATTATTGGTGGTGTTACGGAAATTTTGAGTTTTAATTCATAAATTTGGATTTATATTAAAAAAAATATTGCAGAATAAATTATTTGATATTATACATTTCACATTTCACATGACCAGAGAATATGCATTTTTTTACTAATTTAATATTATATATTAACATTATCTGTAAAAAAGAAAGATACATGTTCAAATTTATTATATTGCGAAAATGGACACTATTTTTTTCCTGCCATGTGTAGTGTAATGTACTCCCAATTATTTACCATATTGAAAATTATACTACATGAATTTCGTGTTATTATTTAAAAAAAATATTTTCTCTTCATTGAATCCAGTGAAAATAAATTTTACGATTGATTTAACCATTTAAATCATATACTAATTAAAATACAAATTTTATCATGATTATACTAATAAGTGAATAACCTAAGTTAAGTTTAACAATTGATAAAAATATAAACGAATTGATTGTATATAGTTCAAAATATAATAATGTTATTCTAAATCTTTGGTATTAAATTCGTTTATCCACTTTATTTAATACCAAAAATTAAGAATATCAATTGTTTTATTTAAAATGTATAATGGTCGTATATACTATATATTATAATAATTAAGTAAATATATAGAGCAACTCCAACACAAAAGTATCAAAATTAGTTTCCGAATATTTATGTGCTATTTAATATTTTATTTTAATATTTATCTAAATGTATTTGCTCCAACCATATGTATTAAATAGTTGTTAATTAAATATATCTAATTGCCACATGTTATTTTCTAAATTGACACTAAGGTGGTTAAATTCATAACTCATGTTTGATATTTTATTCTGCATGATTGCATAATATATTTTTTACATACTGAAAGATGAAATATCAAACTACAATCCTTATTTCATCACTCAATTGGAAATAAAAATTACTATAAAAGAAATGTCACGTCTGCAAGGGTAGACTACATACTTTTTGGGACATTACTTGGAATAAAAAAGATTCCGTAAAAAATCACACCATAAGGGGGTCGTGTAAGACCGAAACAAACATCCGGGGGATTTTGGTAATCACCGATAAGTGGGGGTGTTTTCTGTAATTTAGCCTAAGTTTAGGAGAATTTTCATAATTTATCTTATTAACAACAATTATTGTTCTTCTACGTCTTAACGTTTGCTTATACCCTTATAATATTTTAAATAATTTTAATGTCAGTTTGAAAATAAAATGAAATATTAATTTTTAATATATTTAAATGTGTTTTTTTATGCTTCAGCTACCACACATAAGAAATTTGATATAAAGGTTCGAGATTGAATATAATTGTTTTTTATACTAAATAGTAGATCATTGCAAAAAAAAAATAAAAATTGTTGCAAAATTAGAATTTGTGATTAATATTAGTATTAGAATTAGAATTATAATTAATATTCTTTGCATTCGTATTAGTATTAATACTAGAAATAGGATTCAGATTGTAATTAGGATTAATATAATATTAAAATTAATATTAGGATTATGATTAATATTAGTATTAGAATTATAATTAAGATTATGATTATGCTTAGTACGATATTTAGTGACATGCATTAGTATTAGGATTATGATTAGCATTAGGATTGGGATTAGAATTATAATTAAGATTAGAATTAGAATTAACATTAGCATTATTAGTATTAAAATTATTATATGATAAGTGTTAGGAATAGGGTTATGATTATGATTATGATTATAATTATGATTAGTGTTATGAATAAGATTAGGAATATGACAAGGATTTGGATAATATTAGAATTACAATTTTAAGTAGCATTAGCATTAACATTAACAATATTAACATATTAGTATTAGTAATAGTATTAGTAATAGTATTAGG